AACAGAGTAACTATAATTCTGAAAAGAGCCATGGATAGTGAGGCAGATGGCTCAATCACAAAGGATTATCATTAATCTTAAAGTCATATTCAAATTTGAGTCTCAGCAAGACTATACATAATTCCATGTCATAGATTTCTGGGGTCAAATGTAATGCTTAAAATTTAAAGTGCTGAAACTTTAATGCCAAGGTTATTCTGTGGTTGCATGGAAAGTCTCTGTTGACTGAATAAGCTATAAAATTCAAACTCTTGAACTATCTAGAAAGTACATGTGCTACATTCTTGAACTTCTTAATATTTTGTTCATCTTAATCTTCATCTGTTTGAATGATTGGATTCCTAGCCATGATGTTTACAACTTACTTACTGTAAATGTACTAAATAATTTTGTGGTCTATGGTCTTTTGTTAATAAGGACTGTGGTGAATTCTAGTTCCTATCTGTAGCTGAGTGGCCATTAGGGTAGGCTCAATCTATTCTAATAAGCAAACATATCCTAAAATGAGCTAATTAGAAGATAACATTTCCAATTTTCTTGTTCTTTCTAAAAGGATTAATTGAAAAGACCAATGAATATTTTTAAAGTTGCCCAAATATGACATAATATTATATATATAGGCAGTGATTAAGATCCTTTGATCACTATCCAAACAATACATTAGAATGACACTGTCTTCATGTGGGTGGGTGAAAAGCCACTAAGAAAGAGATATGCAAAGTTAGAGAATTACCAAATGGTATTTGGAAGCTAAATTTAGATAATATAGGGCTGGGGTCATGGCTCAGTGATAGAGTGCTTGACTAGCATGCATGAAGCACTGGGTATGATCCTCAGCACCATATAAAAATAAGATACTGTGTCCAGCTAAAGCTAAAAAATAAATATTTTTTAAAAATTTTAGATAATATTTAAAGCTAATTTAAAAAATAGCCTTACATACAATTACTCAGTAGGCACTTTATCCTCCTTTCTAGGGCTGGGGATGCTGCTCAGTGGTAGAGCATTTGCCTAGTGTATGGGGGGGGGGGGGCACATTCAATCCCCCTGTATAGGTTGCTGGAGTCCCTGCCCCCAATTAGCAACAGATTATTCAGTCAGGGAGACTTGGGTTCAGATCTTGGCTCTATTACATTTTTTTAATTTGAGTAACTGTTGAATCACTTATTTCACTTCCTCAAATTTCAAATTTTTAATCTGTAAAATGGGAATGCTATCACCCAGATGAAATGATTAAATGGCACACTGTATAAGTACTTAGCACAAGGCCTGGCACATTGTGCTCTATAAAAGGTAACAATTATTCTTTTTACTCCAAAGATTATGGCTTACTGTAATTTTGTTAACTTCATCTGTGATTTTTTTCTCAATGTTATTCATATACTTTGACAGTCCTTCAGAAATTATTTATTCAACTATTTAGTGAGGTCACACTCTTTGTCAGGCTCTTGGAATATAAAAGTTTACATAAGGGAGGACAGACACTAAACATATAATTACAGGTCCTACTAGCAGGAAGGGTGCCATGGAAGCAATTAACAGGAGTACTTAATTCAAGAAGAACTTGAAAAAGTGCTATTTAGATAGAGACTTGAAATATGAAGACATTAGCCAGGCAAAAAATGATTGTGGCAGGCAATGTGACATACTCAACGTTCCAAAGGCAAAAGAGAAAAGGGTGAGTTCAAGAGACTAAACTTGTCCTATATGATTGGGGGGAAAAAAGAGCAAGGAAGAAGGTTAGATATGGGCTTAAAAAGGTTAGCAGAATCATATTCTTCAGGGCCAAATCAACCAAGTTAAGAATTATAAGACTTGATCCTAAGGGCAAAGGAAGCTATAAGGCTTTATGGAACACATTTAAAACAACTGCTGGGATGCAGAGTACAGAATGGATTTGAGAGAATGAATGAATGAATGAATGAATGCAGAGACCAGTTAGATAGTTTTACTGCATTTTAATTGTTAAGTGAAAAGAGCAGTATTAGTGAAACTGGAGAGAAATAGACCTATTCAAGAAACTTTTACTAAGGAAACAGAATCACCAAGATATGAGCAGGGCTGTTGATATCAATATGGCGGTTGTCAACCAGACAAAGACAGATACTTTTTTCCAAAGATACTTTGGAAAGTCTTAATCTAAAAAATAAGAATGTGCTGAACAAAATGTATTTCTGTGTACTGTGATTATCAATCTTATTTTTATTGGAGGAAGGGCTGCTGGGGATTGAACCCAGGGCCTTGCACATGCTATGCAAGTGATCTACCACTGAGCTAAACCCCCAGCCCTTATGATGTAAATGCAGCCTGCCTCATATTCCTGAAGCAGTACACAGGGCTAAAAATTTCAGGACACAGGAAGATGTATGCAAACCCTTTGGGAGGCACAACACAAAAGTCTAACTTAATGAGGAACAATGCTTTTGAAACTACTTTGGTAGTGTGATAAAGATTCCACATTATAGGCCATCAATCTTTCAACTTCAGAAGTTTTTAGTATGCAACCATGGTTTGAAAGTAAAGAGGGAGGGAATATCAATAGAAACACTTCCTTTTTCTCTGAGGCATCTTTTGATTCTTACAGAGAAGAAGTCATTTTCTTTTTTGCTTTTCATGTTTTCACATCTCTAAATAAATTAAACAGGATTTCATGAGCAAACCAAAGTGTATGTAAAGTAATGCCTGATACCATCATGAATGTGTTAAGCAAAATTTTTTTCACAGTTGCCTGCCTTCTGAAACTAAACTGAGCATATCATATATGATTCTTTTTTTCTTGTGTGTGGTATCAGTGATTGATTTCAGGAGCATTCTACCTGAGCTACATCCCCATCACTTTTTCAAAGTCTTATTTTGAGACAGGGTCTTGGTAAGATACCCAGGTTGCGCTCAAACTTGGGATCCTCCTGCCTCAGTCTCAAGAGTAGCTGCGATACAGGTGGGCACTGCCACACCTGTCTTGATTTAGTTTTTATTAGGATATATGTTCTATGTTTCAACCATTAAGGTGCCAAGCTCTTTTGATCCTATAGGTTGAAATCTTCATGGAAGGTCCTGTCCCACTATTTTTTTTTTTTAGGTGTTGGAAATTGAACTCAGGCTGTCATGCATGCTAAGCAAGCACTCTACCACTGAGCTACATTCCCAGGCTCCTACTTATCCTTTTTATCAGTTCAATCTCACCTTCCAGAAAGTTGTCCTCCCCAATCATCTGTTCTCTCATTTCACCAAACCCTGAATATGCCTTTATTTTACTGTGATCACAAGTGAATTGAAATTTTATATTGCTCTTCTATCTTCTTCCTTACGTAGGGCAAGGGCTTCCCTTAGAGCAAGAGTTGTAACTTTCAATCTGAACTGTTAAATGTGTAGCACACTAACACAGAGGCAAAGATATTCTCAAGGCTTACTAACCTGTATCCTTCCCCTTTCCTAAATGGCTTCAAGGGAGACAGTTTTGGAGTTGAATCTACTTTTAAGACTTTCTGACTTTCACTAAGAAAACAGCTGGTGAAATCAAATTAGAGTAGGTGGGTTGTAGTCATTGGAAAAGCATATTAAAATAACTATAAATAAATCTTAAAAAATAAAAACAAACATTTTCTTTTTGGGTGACATCACAGAAAATAATAAGCTGGCTGCAAGAACATCGACTTTAAAAGGTTGAGAAACAGCATTACACACCTGCTTTTCTATTTTCTTAATTATGCTATCACTAATCCAGTAGAGTTGGAATAAACTAACTTGTCAGGATTGTGTGCACCATGAGAATTAAAATGGCTCAAAACAAAGGTCAGAGAAGCTTTCCTAGAAACCAAGCGTTTGAGCTTTGGGATTCAAGACTTCTCCAAGAAGGCAGGCATGCTCCAACTTGCCTTGAATCATGCAGTCTACCCCAGCCCTAACCTGGAATCCCTAACACTTCCTTTCTGTGCATCCCAATCCGAGGCAGAGTTTGAGACTCAAATCCTTCAAGTTCGCGCTCTGGCCACTGCTTTCTCTGAATTTCAAGGGCAGTTAGGTGTCTGTAATAGGAAATTTAAGAAGCAAGCAGGTTCAGTCAGATGTTTTCGACTATCTGTTCAAATCGAATCAGGCTTCTCAACAACGGTAGGGAAAGAGGAGTTGGAAATAGGTTAAGAGCCGCAGGTGCAAGCTAAGAAGACGGAACCCAGCGGACGGAGCCTAGCCTTAACTCGAAGGGGAAGGAATGTGACAGTCGGCCTCATGTTGTCCAAAGGGACCCGCCAGAGAGTGACTGAGACCTCTGCGCAGTTGCGTGGGTGAGTGTATGGGGAGGACAGGCAAGGGAGCGAATTCAAACCTCCACCACAAAAAGCAGCCACAGTCTTCCTCGGGCCCCCTCAATTTCCAGCTCCCTATCTGCCACCCTTCTCGCGACGGTTCCCTGCCCAAGGTGGAAACGAAGAAGTCCAAAAGCATCCCGCACCACCTCTGCCGTCCGACCTAGGAGTCGAGACTCACCAGTTTCATTTCAGACTTTTGGTGGTTCTACACCAGTCTCCGCACTCCTCAAGCCTAGGAAGCGCCTTCCGGTTCAACCTCGCCGCCGGCCGCCGAGAGCATCGCGGGACTTGCAGTCTTTCCTCCTCGCGCCCCTGCCCGGGGCATCCTGGGAAGTGTAGTTCTCCCAAAGCAGGCCGGGAACTGTGGTCACCTCTTCCTTTCCTTCCTCTCCTCTCTGAACTTACTCAAATTTATCTCCGCCGCCAATCCATCCCCCTCTCTCCGCCCCAGCATGATATCATGTCCCCGAGAAGGGCCCGGCACCCATGGTGTTCTGGGACGTGTAGTCCCCGCAGCTCCGTTTCCCCTTACCCCGCCTCCCTGTGGGAAGGCGAATGGGCGCGGGCCTTGCCGGGAGCTGTAGTTCCCTGGGGCCTCCAGACGCCCAGCCCTGCATTTATACTCAGGGGAGGCAGAAACTACAACTCCCAGGGACGCCCGGCGGCAGCAGGTGGGAGCGGGGCTGTTGATATCAATATGGCGGTTGTCAACCAGACAAAGACAGTCAGTCTGATGTGATTGAGACAAGGGAGGTTTTCAGGGAGAAACTGGGAGACAGGGGCCTCCCCTCCCCCTTGTGCTCTTCCTGCGCGGCCTCAGCCCTCCCAGCCCCTCCCGACGGGCGCCCCACGCGGAAGACACCCCTCCCCCTCCCGCCTCCCTCCTCCCTACCCCAGCCCTTCGCACCGGGACGTTGGGGAGGGGGCTGTGCCGGGCGAGAGAACTCGGCGAGGATTCGGAGGTGAGTCGAGCGGTTTTGAAGCCGGACTGCCTCAAGTCTCTTTTCTCACTTGTTTCTCTTCACTTTAAGAGAAAAAAAGAAAATTGAGGAGCTTGGGGGAGAAAGTGAGTGGGCGCCGGGGATGGGTCTCCTCAGCGGCCGGTTGGAGAGGAGGGAGGAAGCTGGGGGCTGCCGAGGGGGCGACCCGGGCGCGGGGCGTGGGGTGGGGCAGTTCGTGAGGGGCGGAATTGAGAGGCGTCGACGGCTCTGCAACTCTGGGCTCCGGGCTTCCTCCACGAGGGGCGGAAGGTTTGAATTCCGGAGGTTGGGTCTCCTGCCCGGAGTTTGGGAACTGCGAGGTGGTTTCGAGGTGTGCCGGGCGGTGCGGGCCGTGGAGCTGTGGTGGCAGCCGCGTGACGCGCACTCGGGCGCCGTGCTCGTGTGAGGGACGTCTGGAGATGGGAAGTTGGAGGGGCAGAGGCAGAGCTCCCGCGGGCCTGGGCTGAGCGGCGTGCGCGCGTCCCGGTGCCGGACGGCGGGCGGCCGCGGTGCGGGCCGGCAGGCGCGGCGGCTCGGCGGGTCCCGTGCCCCGGCCCGCGCGCTCCGCCCCGCCCCTCCCGGACAGATCTCCACCCCAAACTCCGGGCTGGAGGACTGTGGAGGTGGCGTGGCGCGGAGATGGCTCTCGGCATCCTGAAGTCGGTGGATAGGTGGGAAAGGAAAAGTGTTTCTTAATATTTTATTCCGGAACTGTGTTTGGGTTACACTATTGGGGCTACTTTGAAAGGAGTCCTCCACCCACCTTCACCCCGAAACAGTAGGTAGAGGTATCTTGTTGTCTTCCTGTTCAAAAAAATTCATAGTCACCTAAAATTCGGGGGCGTGGGCTGGGGGTCAGGAGTGTTGGGCTGCGTACGCGTCTGTCTTCTGAAGAAACGGAATGTCTGCTGTGTGTCCTGAGATAGGGCGACTTCATTTCGTAGTAAGAGAAACTGTTGGGAATTGTTTGCGGGGAAAGGGGGTGCGCTGAAAGTCGCCGCTTGTGTTTTTCTTCCACCCCGCCCTGTTCTGTCTTGCATCTGCCTGAAAGATGGTGTGGAAGAGTGAGGAAGCTTTGGGTGAGTGCGGGGAGGAATGCAGTTGGCAGTAAAGACACCATACTATGTAAAGTTGAATGGTGTAAAGTGATTCTCTCTTTATGTAGTCTGAAGCCTTTGCAAAACCTCATGTATCACACAGGGTAGAGTGATATGACAGGTCCATTTCTCTGGAATCTTGCATGTCCAGAAACCTTTGCATTCTCTCTACCTCTCTGCCTCCCTTCCGTCCTTTCTTCTTCCTTCCTTCCTCTCTTCCTTTTTATTTCCCCCTTTCCTCCTGCCTTCCTTGACATAGTGTAGTTTTCTTCCTGATGAGCATAATGCCTTCTGTGCTTTTTTACTTAGTTTGTGCCAATATGGTTGTACTTGTTATCATTTTACCATAAAATGCGTCAATAAATGAAAAAGACCTCTATATGTTTTTATTTTGCATTTATGATACAGGTGATTATCACATCGGGTTTGCAGTGCTTTGCATGGAACTTACTAAAATCACACAACTAAGTTGCTCCATCTAATTGGATTACAAATCAAGTTTGGAGAATTTGACTTTTGAATTTTCAATTAGAGTTAAAAAAGGAAGAGGACTGCAACGTCTCTTGTTTCTCACAGTCTTTAATATTTAATAACATTACACCAGGAGAATTTAAGATCATATATTTGGTGCTTCCTTCAATCTGAAATATAAGTTCTTCAGTAACCCTCTGTGACAGGTTTTTAGTGTCATAGAATTTTAAATGACTAAAGGAATTGACATAATTTCTAGTTAGACTGTTGAGAAATTAATGTTATTACATATTTAGTCTAGAACTTATCAGTTCTTGGGTCTGCCACCTATCACTAAGAGACTTTTAGATTTCATAAAAACTGAAAGACATATGAATATACTATGTAATTTTTTGATAAGTTTTATGACCTCTGATTTGAAATTTGTGCTATTGGTCATTCATACAGATAAGGGAACTGTAAGCATGAGGTAGCATATATATTTAGATTGACCTGAATAGAAAAAACATGAATGTGTATTCTAAATCTTGAATTTCAACTATAGAAAATGTTGTTCCAAAGCTGAATCCTCAGTTTGTTAGACACCAAGATTTCCATGATTACTTATTTTAAGCTTTTATCTTTACCTGAAATGTTACTTTGCAAAAACTAGAGAAAAATTGTATGTAACTACATAATAGTCTTTTTAAAAAGACATATATTATAGTCATAGCATTTTAGAAATAAAAAAATAAAATGTTAAGAGTTGGAAAAATGAGTGTTTTCCACCACCCTTTGCTAAAAAAAAATTATTTTGTTTGTTTTCATCTATGGAAATGCAGTTATTTGCAGGGAAAAGAGATTATTAAACTTTTTCTAATAGTTGGATCAAAATCATTACACATAAACCAGATCTATTCCTTGTATTCATTGGGCTGATTCTCTTGCATCTTAGGCACTGGGGCATTAAAATGATGTAAAGCCTTTACTGCAGGTTAAAGCATAAAACATTCTCAGCATGTGGAAATCATATGGTTTATGAAAAAAGTGGAAAACCAGGGCATTAGTGCCTGTCCAGCTTAAAATTTCATCCTGTAAATGTAAAGACACATGTATTTTAATGTGATTACTTCTAAAAATGTTGCCTGTATTATGGGAAGTTGAAAATCCAAACTTTAAGACCAGTCTGTTGTTAGTTTTGTGTATTGTATAAAGTGAACACTGTCTGTGGTCACAAATATGCATCAAGGAAAGGAGACTTTAGTTTTATGTTGAATGTCTTCAGTGAGGATCCATTTTTGCTGCTGGGCAGATTTCAGTCTTCTAGCCCCAAACCTTATTTAAAACATTAGAAATAGAAACTTAATAGCTCATTATTGGTAAGTTTTAAGATATATCGCAACAAATCTCGCATTGTTTCATTCTGGCAGTTTTTGTGGCAAGTGCCTGTTGGAATACCATTGCTTCTTTCAGTATGTGTTGAATTCATTAGTAATACTCATCTTTGTTCTTTTTTGAGTCTCCTGTATGTTATATTCATTCCATCCCAGTTTTATATGTTTCAGAGAGCTACCATGTTTCCTGTAAAAATCATGTTTTCTTTTTCTAATCATTTAATTGTAGTTCTTTTATTTTTGAATGCAGTTTTTAAAATTTATATTATTTCTCTTGGAAATTACGAATTTATCCTAATGTTATTTTTCTCAAAGTCGGTGTAATATTCAACTTTTAAAAGTTGTGACCATTTATAGATAAACAAAAATGCTCAGTGAAAATGTGTTAGTTTTTTGTTTTGTGTACTTGCTTTATATATATATATATATTTGGCTTTCTGAGCCTCACTTTAGTATTCTTTGCTAGATTTTTTTTTGTTAACTGCTGGCTTTTACTTCTCAATTTAGTGAAAGCACAGTGTATCTAGAGTGTCATATGTGTATATCTATACTGGCACTTACATATATACAAAGCATCTTTATATGTCTATCAGACCTGCCACCCATTAAAAAACAACAGAGCCACAAGTAGCAGGAGACTGAATATTACCAGTACATGCTGTCCACATTAGAGATGCTTTGGAGATTTTCAGTATCATTATAAACCATTATTTTTGACACATTTTGCCAAAATATGGTTCTTTGAAAATGGGAGCTATTGGTTCGAAATTTATCTCAAAATTAAGTAATTAATATGTGACTTAGATTTTTAAGTGCAGTTACCCCTAGATAGCTCATACTAGACTTAGAGCCCTTTACAGGTGCAGGGTGGAGATTTTTTTTCAAGTGATTATTTGATGTGAAACTTTTAGTTGCACAGTGTAGTAGCTCCATGAAAAACAGCAACAAAAAATACACCTTTTAGTTTGCATCTGTTGAAACATAATTTAGTGCTTTAGATAACTTGTTTTTCTTGACCTTAAATGAAACAAGTTGGAAATTTACTATAAATATATCTTAGCTAAGGACAGTGGTGCATGCATGCCTGTAATCCATTGCCTGGGGAGGCTGAGGCAGGAGGATTAAGAGTCCAGCTTCAGCAAAAGGGAGGTGCTAAGCAAATCAGTGAGACCCTGTCTTTAAATAACATACAAAATATGGCTGGAAATGTGGTTCAGTGCTCTAGTGCCTCTGAGTTCAACCCCAGCCCCCACTCCCCACCAGTGGTCTTGTGCCTCTGAGTTCAGTCCCTGCCCCCTCCCCAAATAAAGAATATTCCAAGGGCATTAAGTTACTGGAAGGCACTGGCTTTAACATAGTTTTACTGTCAAAATGGTAATAAGCTTGAAGGTGCAGTTTTCAAGTGGTTATTATAATACTAATTGTTGAGGGCCTCAGAAGGGAGTGGTTGAGAGGTGATGCCAGGGAGCCATTGAGATGATGATGGTTATGTTAAGCTGTGTATTCAATTGTATATAGACCTTTACTGTCAGTCAATAGGGTGGCTCTTGCTGCCTCCATAGGGTGGCTCTTGCTGTCTCGGGAGCCCACTACTTTGGAGTTCCAGTTGAGAGAGCAGGCATTGAGCCGGTGGAGAGCTGGGAGAGTTCCAGGGGAGTGTGTGTGGAGTGCTGGTGGAGTTCAGGCAGTAGTGGCCCATGGCAACTAATGTAGTATTTTATGGATCCTTACCCCATAAGGGTAGTGTTTTATTTATTATTAACATTTGCCAACAAAAGGGGAAAAGTAATAATAATCTGGTTTAGCTTTGATACATTCGTTTTGATTTTTTCATTCTTAAAACAGGCAACACCAGACACATTACTTTTGAGTGACAAAAATGATTCTAATCCACTCAAAGGGCATTTGGATTTTTCTTAAATTTAAAATAGTGATGATGATTAATGTTTACTAATTTTTTAAAAAAATACTTTGTTTTAGTTGTAGTTGGATACAGTACCTTTATTTTATTTTTATGTGGTACTGAGGATCGAACCCAGAG